ATTCTTGTAGACTATGCATTCACAGGATGTGCACTGTGCATAAGCCAGCACAGCAGCATCTTCCATTTATATCTCCAATTTATAAATGGTGTCCCACCATGGTCTTGAAACAGTTCAGTGATCTTACCTTTAGCATCCTCAGGTAAGAGTAATCATATTTGAATCACTAGAAGCATACAGGTAAAGCACCAAGTAAAATAAGAAAGGCATATCCATGTTAATTGTGAGAATGGGCACACAAAACATAGTTAATGGACAACTTATAGTCTTTCTTGTTTAACAGTAGTTTATTCATCAGCTCATAGTCTTTACCACCGTGCCCTCAGACTACCCAAAGGCATACAGATCCTTAGTTCCCAAACTCTCCTGAAATGACGATGCAGCAAAATCCTCCTATATTTAAATTCTTCAGTCAAGATTATTCAGTCTGCTGCAATCCAGCACTAGAGACATGACAAGGCAGCAGCCTCAGCTACAACTCCAACAGGGGATGAATGGAGGCAAAACGCCCTCTCTGACACTTGCAGCACCAACTACCCACACTCATCCAAGAGTAGAGTCACACTCTTTCAGGAGCCCAGTGATGTTAATAATTTCTTTTTTGGCCAGTCGCATACGTTTACAGCTGATCTCAGAAAGACAAAAGGAGCACTATTTCACAGATCACTCCACCCAGACCTCACTGGTGTCAGATAATGCTATCAAACTGAACTAACAAGCCCGGAACACACTATATGGACCTCATACATGGACAGGAGATCAGGGAAAAAACCCATATAATGTATCTACAACGTCTTTTTTATAGTAATGCCAATTCCTTCTTCAGTACTCTGGCTTTGCTTGAAGAAGGCTTGTCCATTTCTTCACTGACATGAACAGAGCAAACACAGCAGGGAAACTGACTCCGGAAGAATGCTTGTCCTATTTCTTCCTGTTAGACACAGTATAGAGAGTACAGAGTAAAAGACATTAGCCATGCTAGGAATACTAGCCACTAGAATGAAGTGCTACACCACACACATTCCAACTGTTTCACCCCACCTCAGGGATTCTGCTGTACAGCCGATGATCACTGTTACTCTGAGCACACAGACAACTCTGTACACACACTCACAGGGATCTGCACTAGAACTAGCTCATCAAAACCCACTGCGGGTTACAATATCTCAACTCCCAGTGCCTTAACTGCACTAGTTTCATTTCCCTGCATAATTACCATGTTGCAATATTTAAATCCACATTTCTATTAAATGCAAAAATAGGCTAGTTTTAATTTTTAAAAATAGTTATCTAAGATTGTAAAAGAAAAAAAAATGGTGAAATGTTTAAGTATTTGAAGATTGCTGAGCGTACACTGACAACTTAGCCAAATTGGAAGGGCTCAAATAAAATCTACGGCTAAGCCAAACAAAATGACAGACATTAAGGGAACCATCTAAAGTGGAATGACAACAGACATTGGGGAGTCAATACAAGTGGGCAATTCACAGATCACATCAAAGTCATCCACTAAGAGCAGTTTCAGTTTTTCTTGATGCAAAAACAAAACAGAGTAGTAACTAAAGCAGTCTGAGTTAATGTAAAAGGATTAATGCAATTCATTCAAGGGAAGAAGTCCATGAAATAAAACTGAAGTTAATACAGGTGCTAAGGATGGGAAAAAGGAAATTTCCCACTGACATAACTTTTTGGCACTGAAAAAGCCCACTCATGTAGAAAACTACAACTCATAATTAATATAATATTTTTACTTGGAGGACACAAAATTATCAACTAGCACTGACTTTTCTGTCAGATAATAAAGCATACCTATGCACAGCATACTCTGTGGAATCATCTCCCCAACAACAGAGAAAATAGGAAAGCAGAAAACCATTCTTCCCATGCCTCCATCAGAGCAACAACTGAGTCTAAAAACATCTTCATACATAAAATCAGGAAAAGCAAAAAAAACTCCACAGTGCAAGCACTCCCTTAAAAAGAAGTAGGCTGTTATCATTCCCACTTTAATGTTTGCATAGAGCAAACTGTACAACAGCCAGTTCCACAGACAAACACTGAAGAAGCCCTAATTCTTGCAATCAAGTAAAGCAGAATAAAGAGCATTAACTTTTCCACCTTTAACTCCAAACTACTCCACAGAATAAGCATTTCACAAACTCACCAGGTAATTCTCTAAATTAAAGGGATAAAGGCAACTAAAAATGCTTGATTTTCCCAATTAAATGGTAAATCAGGATACTTCATGAAACTGAATGAATAGAACAAAATTACTTGAACAGAAACAGGGACTTAGGGCAGGCAATCACTTCAGCAGCTTCTGTTGAATCATGCATACCACACGTGGCACTTCTGATCACATAATCTGATCTCATCATCAAACAAACTACAGCACTGGTGCACTTTCACATCTTGTATGAATATGTAATATGCCACACTTCTACACAAAACATATACATTTATACATGTACATGGCACATATATATGCATAAAAACATAAGTACACCTTTATTTCTGTAGATAAAAAAAAATCAGTCCCACACTATCAGCTGGCTAATCTGTATTCCATAGTTCCTATTACAAATCTTAGCAATTATTTTGCTAGATTGTTGAGACCATTAGCTACCCGACATGTTAAATCTCAGCCCAACAGTAAATCCTAGAAGATTAAAAAAAAAAAAAAAAAAGCCTCCTTAGAGTTGACATTTTTGTACAAGATTCTTGGCTCTGCCTAAAAAAGAAACCCACTTCCAACATATGTGGTTGAAGACAAAAGTTTGAAACCCCAAAATGCAAGAGTTAGAAACAGAAGCTCCAAATGCATTTAGTCATTACTCTGTCAAATGCTGACTTTTTCAAGGCCTTCACACTGCACTTCTGCAGTCAGTCAGTTCTCAGATATTGATTTCAGCTGTAAGTAAAACACATGAGAATAAGGAACAATTATGCATCCGGCTTCCTATTTACTGAATCACAACTGCTCAAAAATATCATGAAACCACATTAAGGGGTTAGCTACTAAAAATTTAACATTTGTTCAAATATTTTCAAGTTATGGAATCTTTGCATACAGAATCATGCTTACTCTGAATGCAAAATCACATTAGGTAAAGTTTTAGTATCAGATTTACCAGATTATGATCACTGTTTCAGCTACAGTTCTGAAGCAGACTGATCTCAGCCAGAAGTCAAAGCTTTGCAATATTTTAAAAGTGACTATATGAATTTTTAGCAGAGCCTTGTTACCACACGTACAATTACTCCATAAAAACAGAGCTCAAATGCAATCCATTGCTCACCCATGATAATTAGCACTAGGAGAACTAAGTTAACCCCAGTGGCTGGTGTGCAGTCACGCGAGCCAGCCGCTACAATGCTGCTCTGCAGTTCCACCAGAGCACGGTGCTTGTCACGAGGAATAAACAATTTTCAATACCAATCTTATTTAGCAATCCAGAGAGGGAGATCCATCATATTAGTTGTCACCATGCACTCTGAAAATCTTAGTGATATAAGCGATGATAATGACTTTAGAGAGACGTGTAACTGTGTACCAAATTAATTCAGAAAAAGAAGAAAGAAATTGATTACCCACTAATATATATTCAACAGCACAGGTATCATCCAATTTGTCAGACTTAGTGTCAACAATATTTTACATTATAGCTACTCTAAGACCTTACAATGCATAGGCAGTGACCAGTAATGATTTCTTTTACCTAAGTGAAAGTCATTCATCTGCCAGTGTGAGACTTCATCTTTCAGATAATCCCCCGGTGTGGGGTTTAACCAGCTGGACTGTCCATCACATCACAAGCATAAAGCAAACAAATAATAAAACCAAAGTACAGGCTTAGACCGCATGGCAGAACACCACCTACATACCCTAACCAGAAGGGGATGCTCAGTTCTCTGCTTGGATCATGCAGTAGAAAAACAGGCAGGGTGTTTTCACGGGGTTGTTTTCTGGGCATTTCTTTGTTTTGTTTTATTTTAAATATCTGCATTCTCTTGCCTTGAAACAATGGTATCAAGTTAAAGCTCAATGTCCTTTTCAAACTCTAGCTCTCCTCTCCTTGCCAACCTTGCATGGTATAAATAGCAGCAAGCAGAGGAGCGAGCATTAAAAATACCCCTTTAAAAACCTCAGGAGTGTTCGTGCTTGTAGTGCAGGACCAAAGCACTCCGGGTGCACGAGAGCGAGCTGTAGCACATTTTACACATATCAAACACGGTGTCAGTGTTCATCTAGATAGGGAAAAAAAAAAAAAAAAAAAAAAAAAAAAAAAAAAAAAGCTGCCACAGCAATATACAATTTCCGTACCTCTCAATATCGAAAACTCCAAACTCACAACCTGGGCCGGCCGAAGCTGTGACCCCTCAGCCCAGGGGCAAGGCCCCTCGGGGCGAGCCCCGCTGCAGCCGCACCTGCGCTGCGCCCCGAGGCCGCGGCTCAGCCTCACCTCGCCGGGGCCGCGGGAACGCGGCGGGCGGCAATTGCCAAAGAGCACAGAAGGAAAGCAGGCTGGAGCACGACGGAACGGCGGCAGTGACCCGCTTCCCCCGGGAAGCCGCAGCCGCGCTCCTCTCCCGTGCCCCGTTATCCGGCCACCCCGGGAAGCCCTCGCTGAGAGAGCGAGGAGAAAAAGACAAGGAAGAGAAGAAAGGGGAGCATTCACACTTCTGTAAAAGACAGTAAGTCAGCACTTACGGCGACACGCACACACTGCCCCTCACTTGTAGATCGGCGCCGCTGCAGAAAACTGCGCCGCGGCCGCTCTCGCCGCCGGCACCGCCCCCCCTCCGCCCCCGCGGAGGCCCCGGCAGCGCCGCGCCCGCACCAGCCCGCCCGCTCCTCGCCAGCGCCGCCGGCTTGCCGTTCGCGGCTGTCCCGCCCCGGACTGCGCCCCTTCAGCAGCCCCGCGCCCTCTCCGGGCCGTCCGGTGCGAGGCGCCGCCACCGTGTTCCGGGCGCACCTGCCCCGCAGCTGCTCCCCTCACCTGGCGCTGGCCGGGCGGCGGGGCCGGGCCGGCCCTGGGCGGTGCGTTTGTCGGCGGGGGGGCCCGGCCGGGCGGTAAGAGAGGCGCAGGTAGCCGAGCGGGGGAACTGGGTCAGCGGCTAAAAATACCGCACGGGATGGAGGAGGATCTGGCCGCTTCCCCGGTTGCCGCAGCCGGATCCTCCTGAGGGCTGTCGGCGGGACCGGGGTGGTGCGGGTCTTGGCGGATGGTGGGCCCTGGCCGAGCCGGGGCAGGCAGTGACCTTGCTCCAGCCGGGCAAAGTGCGCTGGTTCAAACTCACAACCGACGGCGACAAAACCCGCCTGGTCTCGTTTCAGTTCCTAAACCGCGTGTGGCTTCACGGCCGGCGCGCGGGGTGAGAAGCGTGGGATGCCCCGGTGCTGGAGAGCCGGGCTAAATCACCCGCCCGGGGCAGCGCCTGGGCCGGCCGGGCCGCATTCCCGCGGCAGGGCCCTGCCCCCGGCGTGCCGCGCTGCCATCCCTGCCGCCCCGGGCTGCTGCGGGAGGCGGCCGGCTCGCTCGCGTGCCCACTGCTGCCGACCCGACTGCGGAGAGTGGAAAAGAAGTTTATTCCTGCGAAGTTCCTGCAACATACTGCGATGCCCAGGGAGGCGGTGGAGTCGTCGCTCCTGGAGATGCTTAAGAGGCGTCTGGATCCGGTGCCTGGTGATCGGGTTTACTGGTTACAATGGCAGTGCTGGGTTGACAGTTGGACTTGATGATCTTAAAGGTCTCTTCCAGCCTCGAAGATTCTGTGAAGTCAACTGAGAGCTACCTTAGCAAAACAGTGTGTAACAACACTAGGGCAATGTCTATGTTACAACAAGAAGTCTCAGGAGGTTCAGGCATAATTTTCTTGATGGCCTAAGATGTGCAATGACAGTCTTGTGCTAAGTTTGTGTTTATGCAGAGTGATTTATAACGCAAACCAGATAGAAAGTGTGTGAGTTTAGTGACTGACCACAACTTCAGACTCTGCCATAATCTTTTTAGCATTCTGTCCATGGTATTATTTGCTACCACTTCTTAGGGCTCAGCATCCTGGATTTCAGTGGTAGTAGAGCCAGCACTTCCCTCCAGGATCTGTCCACTCGGATTTCAGTGGAGAAGGTTCATATTTTCGTTGTCTCCCTGACCCAGTGGAGTAGCTGCTGGGGATTTGGCAGTAAAGTTGTCTTCACAGTGGTGGCATTACCCATAATGTAAGGCAGAGAGGAAAAATCTTTTACTCATCATTGCAAAGCCCTAAGAAGTAAATTATGCCTATGTGAATTCTGGGGAAGAGAAGCTTCCAAATGCCAGCAAGGTTGGAGACACTTACCTGGCATGTCTGGTGCATGAGGGCACAGCTGCCTTCAGGCTCCCTGTGTGCCAATGTAGGAGTCTGTCCAGGACAGATTTGGTGACTCCACAGGAAATGCTTTCTTGACATCAAGCTAGTTCCCTGACCTTCCTCTCTGCCCTCCTCTACTATATACAGTTGCTGGCTATTTATATATGTGATGAATATGATTCAGAATTAAACATGCCAGGAAGACACTGCTTCTTTCAACCTAATAATTAGAATAGGAATACAGCATGATTGCTTTGTTTCATCACCACATGAAAGGGAACTATTTATTGTGGTTGGCTTAGTAGTAACAAACAAAATATTTTATTTCCATCCATGAAAAGCAATCTTGTGTGTCTTTATGGGCTTCATCCAAAGCATGCTGGAGTCAGTACTATTATGTATGGGTTTTCAGTTAGCACGTGATTGCAAATCTAGTAAGCTGGATCAGAGCAAGAGTGCTTTTGGGCTACAATGCTGAGCATTGTACAAAACTTGAGCACCCCAGGATAGTCTACATGGTGCTTCAGACCTTGGGAGGCAAACACTTCAGTAGCACAGCTGCAGCACCCTGGCATGAGTCTGCTGCTGTGGCTGAACGTGAGGAGCAACGGACATAGTGAGATTTTTGTGGTGTCATTAGGTTACTGCTCATGTGAAACTGAGTGATAGATAGTTTACATAGCCAGCCTTTTAGCAAAGTTCACAGGCATGGCTCCAACTGTATGTATCAAGGCTAATCTCAATTACAACTTAAAAATGCCTCTGTCTTTGTCACCGTGGGGATGGTCTGGAAAGTATCGACTGATCGCTACAGCTGAAAGCTTGTGGTGTTGATCTTTATCCTGCCAAAGATCACAGTTCATTCAGTGTTTGCTGCAGACATTCCACTCTGATGGCTCTTTAATTTTTCCTGGTTTTGTTGTTTGTCTAGGCCTTTCATACAGCAGTAATCAAGGAGAAAAATCAAATTGAAAACCAGATACTTAGATTTTTTTTTTTAAAGAGATAATGAGATAATGACTTTTGCTTCTCTGCCGTTTTTGTTTTTTTTTTATTCCTTACCTCTTCTGGTCCATGCATTTTTGAGTTTTATAAATGTAGGAGGAATACTGCAGGATCATGTCAGTGAATGTTGAAATTGATGGGAAGTGAGGAAAACAAGAGGGAAGAAAGATAGAATCACTTAAATAAGGAAGATAAATGAAAGACGGAGGATGACAAAGGAGAAAGTAGCCTGGATCCCAAAGTAGAATAAAACATGGGAAAGAATTTGAGACACCAAAGCAAGAAGTGAGTATCACAATAGATGGGAAAGGGAATAAATGAAGTAACAGGTCTTTTTTATGTTATTTCCCTGTTTCTTGTCCGTAGGAGTAGTCAGGAGCAGGCTCCACAAATGGCTCTGAAAGCTACTTTCAGATGCATTCATACTCCAAGATGAATGTATGTCTGTCTTTAATAATAAATATGATTGCAGCAGGTATAAATAATTTGAAATAGTACCAGGTAACTTGAATATCAATAACAGTAAAAATGCAGCAGCACAGGATGGCCCAGTCTGTGTCCTGCTGGTATCCAGGGTAATGGATGGTTTTGAATAGGTTATTAGGGAAGTCAGTTTCTGTTCCTGACTCTTAATGGTTGCTTGTGTACTTTAATATTATATGGTAATTGCCTAGAAAAGCAGTGTTGCAATAGAATTGAAATTTAAATTTCCCTACTCCCAGCTAGAGACCTTAATTGTTGTATGGCAAAGTGATGCCTTGCTTCCCTGGTCCAATGAATGTAGATTAGTTTGTTCAGAATAACAGACTTTCAGCAGGCACAATGAAAGACATTCCTCCCAGCTAGCCTCTGGCCTGGTGATGAAGGGAATTTCCTGGGAATTGTCAGATAGGACTTCTGACTTTGTCAGATAGGACTGTCGTCCTCATGACCTTCCAGGTCTTACATCTTCCTGTTTAGCTGCTGAGAGAACCTCTCCTTCCTCCTGTCATATTTTCGAAAAATGCCAAAATCTAGGCACAGACCCGACTGAAGTATAACTCAAGAGTAAAATGCTTTAGATGCCAAGAGAGCTGTAGTTGGAATATCAGTAATCGACAACTCAAATGCTTCTCACACTACTTATTGGAGGTTCTGGTCCAAGGTACTGCTGCTTCTGGTGTGGTGGGGAATGGGGGGCATATGGCCCAGGGCTGTGGCTCCTGGGTAGCAAACTGGTGCCAGAACTTGGGGGCTGAAGCTCTCAACACTCAAACAGCTTGGCTGTGGTGGATTTATAGTCTGTGGTGAGTCTTATTCTGGCTGTATTTGGGAAACACCATGTTGTGGATTTGTTTATGTTACACAGCAGTGTGTTCATGGGTGATTCGCTGGCATCAGGAGGCTGACTTCTGTCGGATTAAATTTCTGCAGGCTGGAGGTTAAAGCACTCTGTTGTGATGGTTGATTTGGTTTTTTTGTTGGGATTTTTTAGTTTGTTTTGTTTTGGTTTTTTTTGGGGGGTTTTTTGTTTTGTTTTTGATTTTTGAGGTGAAGAGAGGGCCAGTAATGACTGTTGATAACTGCATTTAGCAAGTGATGAGTACTGTTGTGCTTTGCTTATGCAGACTACTTAAATAGTACTATTTGAAGTACTGCATTAATACCAACCAAACATTTCTGCTGGCCAGTGCCAATTTTGGTTTAAGAAATGTATATCACCACAGTTGAAAGTCTTCATTATCTTCTGAGACTCATTTACTAATGACTATTCTTTAATTTTTTTTTTTACCACAAACTTCACATTCATATGACTTATTTGAATTAAATTGTATACTTACTGCCTTGACAATATATTGGTAAGGTATGCTAGAGAAAATCATTGAGTGGTGCTGCTGAAAATGTTGAAAATGTCTTTGGATAGTAATTTGGGTTTGATCTTATAATTTTGCTGATGATTTTCTCTGTAATAGCTAAAAGTAACATAATTCTAAGGATTCTTGGTATTTTTCCTCCACAGTTTAGAAAATAATCAGACAGACTGTGTATATCCTCACAAAAAGTGCTGGTGAACAGATCACAGTCTCTCGCCTAAATTAGTTACATGTGTCATTTTTCTTCCATATGCCTTCCAGTAAAGCAAGATTCAGACCCACTTACAGGCATCTCTGGTGAAGAACTAGAAAATACTCTGAATGCTTTAATATTTAGACTAATTGTAGTTTACTTGATTCCCTAATGTAATAAACTCTTTCCTTCACAGGCCATTATTTGTGGGATAAACCTCTACATTGTACATATTATTCATTATTTATTCCTTCCATTATTCTTAAAGGGACATTTAAGAATGGGCTTATGGTTTCTGCACAATTCATAAGAACAAATCTATTCAATAATTTTAGGAAGCATTTTCTTATGGCAAATAATATAATTTTTATCTTCTGTGGAGTTAAAATACCTCTTTACTGCTTTATTCCTATTAATATGTCAAGAAATCAATATAGCTTTTTTCTTTCTGATATTAGTGATTGAAAATATATGTTGATATTCTTCTAGAGTATTTTAATTACTTATTTTGTAATTAGATAAAAAATGGGCTAATTTCTCCCCCCGCTTCTTTAGTGTCATTTCAATGAGTTTACATAGCCATATGCAGAATGACAACTGTACTGTTCTGTGCCAATTGTTACACCTTGGCATTTTCCACATACACTGTTTCCTAAGCAAACACACTTTCACTGAAGCAGATTTATTAAAAATTATATATATAATAAATCCCAAATATGGCTATTTGTTATTCTGAGAGGAAGGGGCGGGGGAAGCTTGCATCGTGAACATGATGAACCAGCAGAGTTATCTGTAACACAATAGCTTCAGTCAAGAATTTAATTGCCTTTGTCAAGTCTGTGGGGAAGGGATATTACAGCATGGAAGATGGGTAAACCTTGGAGAAGTATACTGGCAGGGAGGATGGCTGCTAGGAAAGGTTTAATCACATATCATGGGGAGGTGTTTGAGAGAGTCATATATTGCCACAATGTCAATATTTCCAGTTGAACCTGCCCACTTCCTAAGAGAGTAGCGGTGTTCTTTTTAGATATCAAGAAATGACTGACCAGAAAGAACATTTAGAATCCTGGTTTTCAGTCATGCTGAACTGGAACTTAAATAACCAAAAGAACACTGATGTGATGAGTGATTTGGTCAAAGGAGAGAGAAGAAGGGACCTGTAAAGAAAGTGCCAAGAGATGCTAGCTGATGGGGCTATTTGATGTGATAGAGACAATGGTTGACAATAAATTTCTGTGGCACCT